GATCACGAGGTCAAGAGATCGAGACCATTCTGGTCAACATAGTGAAACCCCGTCTCTACTAAAAATACAAAAAAAAAAAAAATTAGCTGGGCACGGTGGTGCGTGCCTGTAATCCCAGCTACTCAGGAGGCTGAGGCAGGAGAATTGCTTGAACCCAGGAGGCGGAGGTTGCAGTGAGCCGAGATCGCACCATTGCACTCCAGCCTGGGTGAAAAGAGCGAAACCCCGTCTCAAAAAAAAAAAAAAAAAAAAAAAAAATGGGTTTGCGTAACTGTTTGTCACAAAGATTCCTTTCCAGATATGGTTGGAGATGCAACTACTTCTTGTGCACTTACAATAGTAGTCACAGATACATATTAACCCCAAATGCAGCTGTAATGGTAAGATGTAAAACAGATTCATACAGATCTCCCAACATCCACAGAAATGATCAGTGCTAGAAAGGAGGGAGTCCTGTTAGCACCTTTCTGATCCACCATTTTCTAGATAGATCAGAAAGGTGTTAACACAATTAAAGGTGCTCACACAGAAAGGTGCACTTATGCAATTAGCCGCATCATAAGAACTGCCATCATATGCTTTCCTATTAAAAGCTGATTATTAAGACTTGGGAAGAGGGTCTCTTTCTTCATTCTCTAGAAGGAGATGAAAGAGCAAAGTAAAGCTCAGTGCTAAGTTGGTAAGTCCTTTAAGCCTATGACTTCCTGTAGCCCTCAGAGTGTTAGTTCCATCTGTCAAATGTCTATGCTAGCACAGAAAAGCTATTTAAAGTGTTGGTGCTAATGTGATTAGGGCAGATCAGCTGCAAAGGATGGTATTTTTAGCTCTCAGCTAGACCCAGGGTGTTGAATCAGAAGGCACTAAAGCTGAAAACGTTCATGTTAATAGAGCCCTTGAAACTGGAAAGAAATGTAAAGGCCAGGGCACTCCAGACCTGGGGATGGACCCAAAGGAAGAGATGGAAAGGATTAGTTGCAGGAAGTAGCCTTGCAAGACTAGCAGTGATTTAATGTGTGAAAAAGATGGCCTTGGACTTTGGGAGAAAATGAAATGGCTGCTTTCCCCTATGTTTCACGTGTGGCATGGCCACAGAGCAGTGTATCACTGCAATCTGATTCATTGGTATTTGGAGCACCTAGAGCATGCGGCGATTGGTGTGAGGCCATGACAGAATTGATCAAAACTTAATTTGCTGAGAAACGACATCCAAGGGCACAGCCCCACTAGAAGAAATGCCAGACACTTCCTATTTGACAAGATCACAAAAACACGCCAAGGTGCTATAAGGGTTCAAAACTGCAGGGGGATTTTTTTGATTCTGTTATTTTGACAGACCAAAGCTCTCAGTCACCCAAACTTCTATTTTCTTTTTTGAACAATCATGTCCCTTTTGTACTGAACATGTCTGAAACCAAACCTGCTTTCCAATCACTCTGGTCTATCTCTACCATATCGAAGAGTGTTTTCCAGATCATCTTCAAGGAACACTGGTGGTCCACATGATGTTAATAATAAGCATTTTGTAATTTTAAATTCCAAGATCAAGTAAGTTCAGTTAACACTGAATTAAATAAGTTTCTTCAGTGTAGCTTCTCAGAACTTTTAGTCTGTTAACATGCAATGGCAATTTCTAGATGAAGCCAAGCATATGCTGTATTTTTTAAACTTTCATTGATAACAGAACCCTTTTTCTTAAGGGAAAAATGTTGCCACTGGACCAACTCCCACAAAGGTGACTATAATTGGGCCTGGTCTCTTCCTAGCTGGGTACGGAGGTGGTTCCTCTAACAGGATCCACCTGGGTTCTCACCATTAGCCACTGAGGCTTCTTCACCTGATGGCTTCCTGAAGAACAGCTTATACTGTGGAAAGCTGTCCAACCTCCCATACTCATCAAATGAGGTTCATGGAAACTTACCAGTGGGCCTCAAAGTGATGGAGAAATGACACTGTCATATTCTTAGAATATGGCACAAAATGAAAAAAAATCAATTAACTAATATTGAATTAATCAAACACATTATTATGATGGAAATTACAGAAGACTCCGCTTCAAACACCTCTCCAAGAGCTCCAGAGACGTGAAACAATTATTATCAGAGGCAAACATCTGTTTCAAGTTTCTACATGCAAAGATGGCTGTCTGAATGTCTTATTCTGAGGGTTTCAGGAGGGCTTCAGTCTTCTGAATGTCTCAGAGAGGGCCTATAGGATCATCACATTTAAAAGAGATACCACAGGAAGAAGCTGATCACTATGATGTTGGATTTCTTTTTTTTTTAGATGGAGTTTTGCTGTTGTTACCCAGACTGGAGTGCAATGGCACGATCTCAGCTCACTGCAACCTCCGCTTTCTGGGTTCAAGCAATTCTCCTGCCTCAGCCTCCCGAGTAGCTGGGATTACAGGTACACACCACCATGCCCAGTTAATTTTTGTATTTTTAGTAGAGACAGGGTTTCACCTTTTTGACCAGGATGGTCTCGATCTCTTGACCTCATGATCCACCCACCTCGGCCTCCCAAAGTGCTGGGATTAGAGGAGTGAGCCACCGCGCCTGGCCTGATGTAGGATTTCAAAAGCCCTATAAAATTCATCTGAACACAGAAGACGAATATGACATAGAGCCATAAAAAACTAAAATTAAAAACAAAAAGCTGGAATGAGAAGGCATTATTTTGTTTTTTTGCTTTCTGTACTGCTGTGTTGCCTCCTTCCCCCAGTGCTGTGCTCCAGCTGCAATGGGAGGATGGCAACATGCTGGAAAACCCTTGGGAGAACCACCAATGTGTGCATGAGTAAATGCGGGGTAAATGAGGAAAGAGGAAGTGCTGACCAAGCACCAAAGCTCACTTTCATTCCAATTCACAAAGCCTTGTACTAACCTCAAAAGAAAGAGAGAGAGAGAGAAAGAGAGAGAGAGAGGGAGGGAGGGAGGGAAGGAGGAAGGGAGGGAGAGAGAGAGGAGCAAGCAACAGTGAAACAAAGGCAAGAGAGAGCGAGAGAGAGAGAGAGAGAGAGAGAGAGAGAGAGAGAGAGAGAGAGAGACAGAGAAGCGAGCAACAGTGAAACAAAGGCAGGACTCAGAATAACTTAGGGCTCCTTTCATTCCTGAGGAATATTTCAGAGAAACAAAGCCCAAGGGACTAATAGCTGCTATTGTTTCTCTTCTTGGGATACCCCTTTTATGTTCCTTTACAGTAATAAAGTTAACTACAAAAGGGTCTGGAGCTTTTTAATGGTGATTAACGAGGTTAGTATCATCACATGAAAGCTGGCACAGGGCAGTATAGTGAAAGGTTACCAACTAGGCTTTTTTTTCTTTTATAGAGATGGAATCTCACTATGTTGCCCAGGCTGGTCTCGAACTGGCCTCAAGAGATCCTTCTATCTCAGCCTCCCAAAGTGCTGGGATTACTGGTATGAGCCACCATGCCTGGCCCAACTAGGCTTTCATTAACTATGATACATTGTTTAATTATAAACACAGTGTTCTAAGTATAGAATCTCAGAAAGACAGCCACCCTTCCTCCAATACCAAAGATTGATATAAAAGAAGAAATGGTCTTTTGATTTACTAGGGGAGTGAATATTCTCAAGCGCCACTTCAGTTTTTGATTATTAGGATGTTTAAGTAATAGAACTAACACATCTTTACATAGTGAAGAATTGGGTAGATGGGTCGATTTTAGTTTGTTGCCTAAATCTGTTGGCTTGTAAGTAATCTAGTACCTATATCAAAACATACCATGTTTTGAAACAGGGGTTTGCACTGTTTATATCCACTAGAAACATGGTGGATACAGGGGAGGATAAAAGGGTAGGCAAAAGAAAGACTAAAATCGCAAATATCTAATTTGATTTAGTAAGATGAAAATGAAATTTAGAGTACATTACTCACCAGCATTTAAATGACATTCCTTAATCTGAAACTGAAGTTCATTTTCATTGGGAATATCCTTCCATGTTGCAAGAAAGACCTGGCGCTCTGTACGGGGAAGCAGAGGGGAAGGATGGATGTGTATAATCTGTCAGTATTCTGATTTCTCATGCCTAGCATCATTGTTCCTTTGTCATGCTGGTCCTTGCAATATAGCTAACAGCATGCTGGGACTAGAGGCGATTCTGAGCTCTGCAAAAGTGCTATAATCCAGTTCAATTAATTTCTCCTCAATAACACTACGATATATTGGAAATGAGTCTACATCTAGGGTTTCACTTTGGCTCCCTTGTTTTCCTATTTTGGTGACTTGTGATCTTTCTGAGCCTTAATTTCTTCATCTATAATTACATCTGTCCTGCCTACCCAAAGGGCTATTGTGAGAATCAAATCAATTTAAATGCCGACATAGTTTAATATGCACCATTATAAGCCAGTTTTATTAGATTGTGATTCATAAATAAGGGAAGAGAGAAATGTCAACAGACACATCAGGAGTACTGATGGTTTATTACAAATTACTGAATTCTTACCTGGAGGCAGTATGAATTCAGGATACAGTAAAGTGCTAAATTTACATGTAGTATCTCATTAAATCATTATAAAAATTATTTACACTGTAAATTTGGAAACGGAAATTCCAAAAAGTTTATTACCTTGACCAGTCACACAGCAAATAAATGGCAGAGCTGAGATTCAAATCCATATTTACTAGGTCCCCAAACCTCTTACTATGTGTCCTGGGTGACTGAATTATTCAAGTATCGGGCACCGTGATTTAGAGACCAATGGCAGAGCAAGAACAACTGTGACTCAGGAGAATAAATAATGAGCAATTATTAAGAACTTTAAAATATCCTTATTCCATTCTTTTAACCTCAAAATAACTTGTACTTCTGGGGCTATGCTCTGCCTGACATGCCGAAGAAGGGCAAAGGTATATTCTGCAGGATAGGCAGGAGCGTACTTACCCATTTTGCCATCTTCTACAAAAAGCACATTGAGTGGGATGAGGCAGCTGAAGTAGAAGACATCGATATTGTTTTTCACAGCCACCTGCCAGGAAAGCAACAAGGTAAAATGAGGACATTGTAGGGAGCCAGGTAGGAGGGAAAGAACAGCATTATTTCTGTGTCTAGAAATATGCCTCCCTATTTCCTTCCTCTCTCAGTCACTGCAGGTCTCCCCAAATCAAGACACACTGGCGCATATACTGCAATGCACACCCTTACTTACTCAACATTGTATAGAACTGCGACAACCTGCAACTCTACCTCCTTCCAAAAGGCCTGTCTTCAAGGCACAACTTGTATACTAGGAATAAGCTAGTCTGTTGTTTTTTGTCTCTATGATTAATAGTAGCTGCTACCACTTACTAAGTTACCTACTAATGATATTATTTCTTATTTTTTTGAGACGGAGTTTCGCTCTTGTCACCCAGGCTGGAGTGCAATGGCGCGATCTCGGCTCACCCCAACCTCTGCCTCCTGGGTTCAAGCAATTTTCCTGCCTCAGCTTCCCGAGTAGCTGAGATTACAGGCGCACACCACCATGCCCAGCTAATTTTTGTATTTTTAGTAGAGATGGGGTTTCACCTTGTTGACCAGGATGGTCTCGATCTCTTGACCTCATGATCCACCTGCCTTGGCCTCCCAAAGTGCTGGGATTATAGGTGTGAGCCACCATGCCCGGCCTTAATGATATTATTTCTAACTCTCACTATAACGATCTCAAACAAAGTAGATAACATTCTCCACTATTTCACAGATAATGAATGAAATTGGGGTTTAGAAAGACTAACATCCACAGTCATGTGGCTAGTACACAAAAGAATTAGGATGCAAACAGAAGTTTGATGCTAAATCTTGATTTTTATTTCTCCGCATAGTAACTAGTACCATGCTACCTCTTTATTTTTTAAGATAGCAGTTTTAAAATTCTTTCTTTTATAAACCTTATTTCCCAGGTCTTATGGTTGGAAAAAGCTTGTTGGGTCTAACATTGATAAACCTGATGACTCTAAGAACAAAAAATCTTTAAGCAAGCAAATAATGAATTTTCTTCTCACAATACAAACTTCTCGACTATGATTCTACCATAGCTTGCTTAATTCGGAGCATGCTGTTTTTTAAAAAGCTACAGTAAGTACTTTTATTCACGGCAACACTGATTAATATATACTTTCAGGAACAGGCAAATTGCACAGCAGCAGATTATAAGGCCCATATACCGTAAGAAGAGAGAGTAGGAGGGGACTTGCTCTAAGTCACCACTTCCTACTGGTTTCTATCACTAATGACTTTCCTATCGATGCTCTTAGCACTGTAGGAAAACATTTATCTGAGCAAGTTCTATAATCAGTAACCATACCTGTTTCTATCTCATTTTGCTCTAAAAACATAAAGTTAAAAAGTGCTTGTCTAGTACACTATTCTCACTTTCTACCATTTATGGCAAATGTCTACACTTCGACAGCATACTGACCTCTTAAAATTGTGGCTATGAGTTCCAAATATCCTTTTTCTAAAGTACTTCCAGTCCTTCTACATTTAGTATCAACTTATCTTCCCTACTTTAAATGGTACCTGTATTCTCTTTTCCATAATTATGTTCTCTCTCCCAGAAGAGTCCATGCAATTATTTTCCTTGCTTTTAACCTGTCAACTAACAGGCTAAGGAGTTTGTGACCTATATATAACATGGCCTGATGCCCAAAATGCTGAGATAGAATTCTCAAAAAGCTTAAATCTGGTGAATTTAAGCAGAGTAACTAATCTCAGGAAAGAGACTGAAGACTTTCTTTAGGATGTACTAGAGCATGGCTGGGTGTGGTGGCTCATGCCTGTAATCCCAGTACTTTGGGAGGCCAAGGCGGACAGATCACCCGAGGTCAGGAATTTGAGACCAGCCTGGCCAACGTGGAGAAACCCTGTCAATACTAAAAATACAACAACAACAAAAAATTAGCTCGGCATGGTGGCAGACACTTGTAATCCCAGCTACTTAGGAGGCTGAGGCGGGAAAATTGCTTGAACTGGGAAGCAGAGGTTGCAGTGAGCCGAGATTGTGCCATTGAACCTGGGCAACAAGAGTGAAACTCTCTCTCAAAAAAAGTGAAAACTGGGGTGATAGGGATAGGTTAATGGTGGGTCATATAAAGGTCTCATGTGAAATATAAGTGTTTATCTTTGAATATAAAGCAGTTATATCTCACAATGTGCCACTCAAACATTTATTAATGTTTACTATATCCCAAGCATTTGCAATATAGGAAAGATACAGAAAATAGTATCCCCCTCCTCCAGAGGATAATATTAATGGTTCTTAACAGAAGACTTATATCAGAATCATCTGGAAAGGCTTTTTAAAACAGATGCCAGGCCCTACCCTACATGAAAGAATTACAATCTCTGAATCTGGGACCTGGCAGTAATATTTGGGAAGAAGTTCCCAGGAAGAGCAACTGGATAAGCAATTAATTTAGAACAGAACATTGTTATCTAAGAAGTCTGAATGAGTCTGTAAACATCTTGTTCTTCCAAAAGAATCCTTATGCCAACAGGAGCCGTTTAACAATGGAAAAGAGATGAAAACGTCCTCTAGGTAAGAGGTGCTAAACTGTTCTGCACTGTAGACCCTTTGGACAAACATGAAAGCCACTGACCCTCTTGGTGAAAAAATGTACACACAACATTTTGACATACAATTTCAGGAGTTTTGGGACACTACAATAGCTTTCCTGGGACTTCTGTAAAACAACTGTCTGAGAAGCTAGGATACCCACAAATCAGAGGCAGCAGACACAGAGGTTCAGAGCATGAACTTGGGAGCCAGAACACCTGATTTCAAATTCTGACTCTTACAGATTCCTGTCTGTAAAATGTAGATCACAACAGTACTGAATTTATGGGGTTGTTATGAGGATAATGAGTTAATATTTGCAAAGCACAGTGAATAGCCTTGACTCTTAAGTACTGTAATAAGTGTTTGTTCATTTCACCTGAAGGGTCAAAAAAAAAAAAGTGTTTGTTCAAAAAAGAAAAATCTGGCTGAGTGCTGTGGCACATCCCAGCAGGCATGAGCCACCATGTGAGCCTTGGAAAGCCAAGGCAGGCGGATCACCTGAGGTCAGGAGTTTGAGACCAGCCTAGTCAACATGGAAAAAAAATCCCATCTCTACTAAGAATTAGCTGGGCATGGTGGCACGTGCCTGTAGTCCCAGCTACTCGGGAGGTTGAAGTGGGAATATCGCTTGAACACAGGAGGCAGAGGCCACAGCGAGCCGAGATCGCGCCACTACACTCCAGCCTGGGCTACAGAGCGAGACTCCATCTCAAAAAATAAAAAAAGAGAGAGAAAAGAAAAAAAAGAGAGAAAAAGAAAAATTCATTCTGCTTTTACCATCTCCTGTTCTATCTTTTTACTCAGAATCTTTCCTAATTAAGGATAATCACATTAGACTTACCTGAAATCTTACACATGCTCAGATGTAGTACGACTACTATGTTAAGAAAGAGATCAAAAGAGATTTTTTAAAAGGCAAATTGTTAGCTTAATGATTCCTTTTACTACTGCGTTGGTAAACTATCATCTCTTTATAGGATCAACTACACAGGTCACTCCCTGGGGGAAGCAGTTCATCTCTTTTATATTAGCTTTCTAAAATCTGTATTTTGCAGTTCTCAAATTTTCACTCTAGGCTAGAACTCTGGGTTCATTTCAAGAATATAGGCTTTCCCAGATCTGACTCCTGCCTACCTCTCCAGCCTACTTCCATGGAACTTCAACCACATCAGAATTACTTCTTATTCCCCAAACACTGAAAGTCACAACCTTTTTTATATGTTGTTCTTTCTGCTTAATATTTTCTTCTCCTTGAGCTTTACTGTCTGGAAAATACCTATTTAACCTTAAGGTTCAGTTCAAGACTAACACTTCGCAGAAAGCTCTAACCCCTCCCCATAGCACCCAATGCATACGCTTCTATGACAGCATATAATAATGGCTTACTTCTGGCTGACCTATAATACAATGAGCTCCTTGACTGAAGGGGCTGATTCTTATCTTCACTAGCATATTGACTGCCTCTGTAAATATTTGTTGCATAAAAATAAGGGGAAAATGTTGAACAAATAAAAATGAAACACTGTGTTTCTCAACCTTTTTTCTACCTTGACATCATTCACATACATAACAGAATTCCATCAGTAACATCTCTCATTAGGCACATGGATTCTCAATGAGGCAGGAATGGGGCGGGGGGGTGGGGAGTGGGCAGAATTGGATGATGTATGGGTTCTTTTGGTTTCAAATCACTGAACTAAGTAATATCTAAATCCTAAGAAAGGTAACATAGGTAATGGATCACAACCCAACAAATGCTAGGTTCTCCAAAGATATGCCAATCATATTTTGGGTGTTAAAAAGAGCCAAGGGAAAAACACAGTCTCTGCCTCTCCACTACTCTTCCACCCAACCCCTATACCTTCCCTTCAGAGCACTTAGCTTCCCCAGTATATGCTCAACATAGCAGCCAGTGTAGGTCAGCTCATAAATACATCTCTGCTCAAACCTTTCCCTCTCACTCAGAATAAAACCCAAAGTTACAACTGCCTATAATCCAACTCCTCCACCCTCTCTGATGTGCTAATACTCTCCTCCTTGCTAGCTCTATTCCAGCTACAGGAGTCTGTTGTTCCTTCCTTGCACACAGAAGGTACACTGCTACTTCATGGGTTTTTGCATTTGCTGTTTCTTCTGTCTACAATGCTCTTCCTCCAGAAATCCATGATTTTTTCCCTGCCTCCTTTGAGTCTTTGCTTTAATCAGATATTATCTTCTCAGATACATCTTCCATGACCAACATATTTTTGTAAGATTGTACCACCCAATCTCCAACTCCAGGACTGCATATCCCAATACTTCTTTTATTTTTTTCCACTGCCCTCCCTACCATCTGATATACTATGCATTGTCCTGATTTGCTGGTTTATTGTCTGTCCCCATGGCACATAACCCATCTGTGGTAGAATATAAATTCCATCAGGAGAATTCCTGTCTTCTATTTGCCACAATATTCTCAGTTTCTAGAATAGTGACTGGCATAGAATAGGTGCTGAACAAGAGTAACAGTTGTAAAATATACTATACAAAGTTTCTGACCTCACATGGGTTTACACAATATATAAACTTAAAGGTTCTATGGGGCTTGGTGCAGTGGCTCACTCCTGGAATCCCAGCACTATGCGAGGCTGAGCGGGGAGGATCACTTAAGGCCAGGAGTTTGGGACAAGCCTGGGCAACCTAAGTGAGACCTAGTCTCTATTAAAAAAAAAAAAAAAAAAAGCCAGGTGCAGTGGCATGAGCCTTTAGTCCCAGTTACTCAGGAGGCTGAAGCAGGAGGAAAGGAGGATAAGGGTCCAAAAATTCAAGGTTACAGTGAGCTATGACTGCACCACTGCACTCCAGCCTGGGCAACAAAGAGAGATCCTGTCTCCAAAACAAAGTCCCAAAAGGAGGTCAGTACTTCTCACATTTTTCTAGTGTATTTCCCTTAACAGAAGAGGAAAGAATGGATACATAATGGGGAGGAGGCAGGGGGATGGGTCAAGATTAGGGGTATAATATGAAGCAGTCTATCATAAGAACAAAATCTCTTTGAAGTTCCATGCTAAAATCCATAATGTATCCATATACATTTTAATATAAAAATGTGTTTCTCCCTTTACCTTTGAGTAATACTGATGCTCTAGGAAAATGTGCTATTGTGTATTCTTTAGCTTCAAGTATCCCTAGCTTGGTGGGTCATGACCAGTTGGTGGTTCTTAAAATTAACAGAATGGGTTGAAATTGGCATTAAAAAAATAAAAATAAAAAATATCAAAAAAAAAAATCACAGTTCATCTCATGAAGAGTAGTAAGTAATGTTTCCTGAAACTGTTGTCTTATGTATTGTGTGTGTATACACTATGTAAAATACATTTCTAAGTTGCAGTCAAAAAAGAATAAAAGCTGCAATACATACACACCAAAGCAAGCAGTGAGAAAATGGGTTCAACGAGTGAAGGAACGGAATGCACACCTCAGCTTCTGCTTTAGGATGCCCAAAGCAGATCACAGATGATTCAGAAACAGATTAACTAATCCTCTGTTCCTTTGGTATGTCATGTGCAACATGTGAGCATAACAATATTAACTTGCTTCTTAGGGACATCAATAGCAAAGAAAACAGAAATTATAAGGCGCTTTGAAAACACAAAAGTGGGCTATAAAGGCTTAATAATAACAATGATTTTTAAAAGTTACTTTAAGTGGCTGCTGAGGAAAGAGCAACCTGTCAGCTTCAGCCTGTAACCAGCAATTAGTTTCTTTCCACAGTATAGGAAGCCTGCTGCAGGAGCTACAATCTCTTTATGATGGGACAGCTGGAGAGGAAAAGGCTAAATTAATATTCTAACCTTGTTCCAGTACCCTCAAAAGTACTATAAAAAGGTACAAGATGAACTCAGTCTGAACTGTGGCAAATGAGGCCTCTTACCTGACCTCTCACCACAGGTAACCAAAGGAGGCACTGCCACAAGGAAAACCAAGTCAAGTAGTACAGGACTTGCCTTTGAGATTATATCTTCTACTCTTCCATAACGTCACTTGTGACCTTTCCTCGTTTCTGAATAATTTTTTTTCTTTTATTCCTCTTCTCCATTTAGCTTTTGGAAAGATTATTTGCAGACTGGTCCAAGCTAGGACCAGGCAGTGACGTCAACCATCTCCAGTTCTCTGAGGAATGATGATTCAGATGTGTTTTAAGTACCATAAAACCTAGTCAACAGATCCTAGGGGAACAGCTCTGAGTGACAGGTTTTTAATAGTACTAACTCCAACTGTGTGATGTATGTCATCTGAGACTCAAACAGAAGCGACCCTTTCTGCCAGGTGCTGGAGTTAAGCTGACATGTAGTTCTACATTCCTAGTCAATGCCAAAAGGTATCTACCATCTTAAGTTTATTTTTATTTTATTTTAATTTCTTTTTTGATACAGGGTCTTGCTCTGTCACCCAGACTAGAGTGTGGAGGCATGATCACAGCTCACTGTAGCCTTGACTTCCTGCGCTCAAGCAATCCTCCCATCTCAGCCTCATGAGTAGCTGAAATTACAGGTGTGTGCCACCAAGCTTGGCTAACTTTGTTATTTTTGTAGAGACAGGGTCTTACTAGTCTTACTATGCTGCCCAGGCTGGTCTCAAACTCCTGGACCCAAGCCGCCCTCCCATCTTGACCTCCCAAAGTGCTGGGATTGCACAGGCATGAGCCACGGTACCTGGTGATCTGAAGTTTAAGTAACATTTCGAACTCAACTGAACAATAAATTATCTGGGAATTCTCAGAGACCCTGACAAAACAGAAAGGTCGATCTATGATTTAAGACGATATCTGATATAGTTAAAAACATAGCACAAAGGGTCACGAACCACAGGAAATGTCGACCGACTTTCCTTCCAGTGCTAATTAAATTTTAACCTGAACAGCATCTTTAGTTCACTTTCACAGCTGGGATTCAAACAAGAACTCTCTTCCCATATTCTTTCTTAGTCCACCCAATAGATCAGGTGGATTACGTGATAGCTGAGGAGGCCTGAAATGATACCAAACTGCTGTTCATCCCGAGTATGAAGCCATACTGATGTATTCTCAGGACACACTAGGACACTGTTCATTGTTCCGAGTATATATACAGTGGAAGCCTTTATAGGGAAAATTCGACAGATTAGCAGTGGTTCCATGTCCCTAACATGTACTTCAGCATTTGAAGTTTCCATATTAAACAGTTTTCAGAACTAGAAATGAAAGCTTTGAACAGAGCTTCCAGATGATCTCTAAAATTGTAAATCCTCCAGTAGCACATGTAATTATTGGGCTTTAAAAAGGCAATGAGCTCCTAAGAGCCAATTTCTCTTAGTAAGCTTTGATTCCAAAGGAAGTCAAGAGAAACCGAAAGACACTGAAACTGAAATACTATGGCTTTTCCTGTAGCCCCTATTTGGCTATGAGATCTGCTTAATCTCAGTCTTGAAAAACTCTCAAATAACTTAGACCATGAATTAGAAATGTCAGCAAGTTAAATCTCCAGAACACTAAAGATCAGATTAAAATCGTAGGCTGGGCACGGTGGCTACAATTTTCAGTAATTCCAGTAATCCCAGCACTTTGGGAGGCAAAGCTAAGACGGGGGGATCACCTGAGGTCAGGAGTTGGAGACCAGCCTGACCAACACGAAGAAACTCCGTCTCTACTAAAAATACAAAAATTAGCCAGGCGTGGTGGCACATGCCTGTAATCCCAGCTACTCAAAAGACTGAGGCAGGAGAATCACTTGAACCCAGGAGGCGGAGGTTGCAGTGAACTGAGATCGTGCCATTACACTTCGGCCTGGGCAATAAGAGTGAAACTCTAACTCAAAAAAAAAAAAAAAAGGCTTAGACTGAGATTGCAAAGTCGTACGAAGACATTGCTTTAGAATACTTTGGATTAAACTGTCAGCTGAGGCGGGCAGATCACTGGAGGTCAGGAGTTCAAGATCAGCATGGCCAACATGGCGAAACCTGTCTCTACTAAAAATACAAAAAAGTAGCTCAGCATGGTGGTGAGTGCCTGTAATCACAGCTACTTGGGAGGCTGAGGCAAGAGAATTGCCTGCAGTGAGCTGAGATTGTGCCACTGCACTCCAGCCTAGATGACAGAGGAAGATTGTTTAAAAAATAAAAATTCCCAAAATGTGAGCATGATTAACATGTTCTATGTTCTTAGTCATCTCCAATTTTGAAAATAGGGTCCATTAATGTGCTGTGATCTTGCCTTTCCTAATATCAATAAACAGAGTAAAGGAAGCAATAGCTTCTAAAATTTGCTCTGTCTATTTGAGAAAATGAATTTGTAATTACCGTCTTCAGATTAAACTTGGGACCAGGACCAGACCTACCCAGATAAAAGGGTATTAAATCAGAGTCAGAGGATAGAATGCAAGGCTGCTGAGAACCAACAGGCAGAGGCTGTGTTTGGGGATACTCTGTTTGTTAAGATGAAGAGATAGCCTTACTTAGTTTGGTTCAAGAACTAGATGAATCTGATGTTGGTTAATATTTTCTTCTTCTTCTTTTTTTTTTTTTTTCTTGAGATGGAATTTCGCTCCTGTTGCCCAGGCTGGAGTACAATGGTGTAATCCTGGCTCACTGCAACCTCCACTTCCCAGGTTCAAGTGATTCTCCTGCCTCAGCCTCCCAAGTAGCTGGGACTACAGGTGCCCATTACCACACCTGGCTAATTTTTGTATTTTTTAGTAGAGATGGGGTTTCACCACGTTGGCCAGGCTGCTCTTGAACTCCTGACCTCAGGTGATCTGCTCGCCTTAGCCTCTCAAAGTGCTGGGATTATAGGTGTGAGCCACTGTGCTTGGCCTGGTTAATACTTTCTTAAATAAAAGCAAAAAGACTCATTCAACAACAAATATTTATCGAGCACCTACTGTGAGCCAGGCATTGTTCCAGGCACTGGGAGACACAGCAGCGGGGGAGAAAAACATAGATAAAACTGCTGCCCCTTTGGAATTTGCATTCTAGTAGGAGAGGGGCAGGAGATGATACTAAATAATTAAGTAGTATTTAAAATATAATTAAATGCTATGGGGTAAAAATAAGGAAGGTTGGCAGTACTAGGAGTGAAGTGAGGAAATCTTATTAAAAAGGTACTATTTAGCTAGGCGTGGTGGCTCAGGACTGTAATCCCAGCATTTTGGAAGGCTGAGTTGAGCAGATCACTTGAAGTTAGTTGTTCAAGACCAGCCTGGCCAACATAGTAAAACTCTTGTTTCTAATAAAAATATAAAAATCAGCTAGGTGTGGTGGTAGGCACCTGTAATCCCAGCTACTCGGAAGGCTGAGATACTTGCTTGAACCTGAGAGGTGAAGATTGCAGTGAGCCAAGATGGCACCACTGCACTCCAGCCTGGGCAACAGAGTGAGACTTAAAAAAAGAAAAAAAAAAAAAACAACTTACTCCTTCTATCTAATTTTGCACCCATTAATCTTCTCTTCATTCCTCTCACCACCATCTTTCCCAGCCTCTGGTAACTATCATTCTATTCTCTTTTTTGGGTATTATTTTAGTAGAGACCTAAAGGAAGGAAGTAAGCCATACAGATATGGAGATTGGGATAAGGCACATTCCAGACAAGGACAACAGTCAATTAAAAGGTCATGAGGTGGCAGCATCCCCTATTCTGAGATCAGTGAGGAGGCCAGAGTGGCTACAGTGAAAGGGAAGAATAGCAGATGAAGTCAATGAGGAAAGGAAGGAGAGAAAGGCAAAGCTAGATCACCCAAAGTCTTGGAGACCTTTGGTAGGATTTTGCCTTTTCTGCTTAGAAACTATTACTGTACGTTCTTCTAGGTGGGCAGCTGAAAGTTTGTTAATTCTTGCTAAACCACTGGCTGGTTATACTCAGTAAATCCTAAATAGCAAATAATAGCTCAAGTCATCCCTCAGTCCCACCCCACCCCCACTATTAACATAAACAGTATTCAAAGATGAGACACCGGCAACCAAGAGCACATCAGCCAGTACATGTAGCTCTGTAGCTGTCATTAAAGGAAAAAGGAAAGACTGGTGCCTTTGGGCTTATCTGTCAAGCAGGTTGAAAGACCTGTGAAATTATTGCTGGCTGTTTCTGGCAATTGAAACTATGTAGAGTAATTCTGCTGTAGGCTGCTAGACGAAGAGAGGATTAGGGCGCAGTAATAGAGTGTTCTGAAGAGTAACTGGGTTTGGTCAGTATAGTATCACAGGTGGGTTATACACTGGCAGAAAGCAGTCACATATATACATTTGCTATAAGTTATCTGAGTATAACAGGTACCTTACCTGAGGGTTGCCTGAGTGTAACAGGCCAGTGGTATAGCAAGAATTAAGCAACTTTTACGACTCTGATGGGACCATACCTGTGTCACTGGCAGCTGTGTGCCAGGGTCGAGGGAAAATCATGCTAAAATACACTGCATCTGTTCCTACTCCTGGGTGGCTTCCTCATTTTAAAAGTTTTATAAGTTAAATAAATAATGTATAGCAAATGTATATGTGACTGCTTTCTGCCAATGTATAAGCCACCTGTGTTACTATCCTGACCAACCCAGTTACTATTCAGAAATTCTTATTACTGGGCCCCAATCCTCTCCTCTTCTAGCAGACTACAACAGAACTACTCTATATAGTTACAGTTGCCAGAAACAGCCAGCAGTAATTTCACAGGCCCGTCAGCCTGCCTGACAGATAAGCCCAAAGGCACCAGTCTTTTTTTTTCCCTTTAATGACAGCTACACAGCTACACGTACTGGCTGATGTGCCCTTAGTTGCTGCTGTCTCATCTTCAAAGATTGTTTATGTTAACAGTTGGGGGTAGGATGAGGGGGGCTGAGGGACAACTTGAGCTATTATTTCCTCTGTAGAGCTTACTGTTAAACTTTAAAAATACATTTAGGCCAGGTGCAGTGGCTCACACCTGTAATTCCAGCACTTTGGGAGGCTCAGGCAGGTGGATAGCTTGAGCCATGAGTTCAAAATCAGCCGGGGAAACATAGCGAGGCCTCAACTCTACAAAAAATAAAAGAAAATAAAAAATAGCTAGGCATGGTGGCACGCACCTGTAGTCCCAGCTACAGGGAGGTTAAGGTAGGAGGATCGTTTGAGCCTGGGAAGTCAAGAATGCAGTGAGCTATGTTTGTGCCACTGAACTCCAACTTGGGAAATAGAGTGAGATCCTTACTGAAAAAAAAAAAAAAAAATAGAAACATTTAATACATACTGTACTAAATCATAAAATGGTGAAGGCTAGACTAGAAAACTATTAGTTAAAGTGATGAACTATTCCACTCTAATTTAGTATGCCATAGAAGACCTAGTAGAAATTCAATAACAGAACAAACTTCAGTAATAATAGGTGGTAATAGGAGTGAATGAACATAACTGATTTTTCAATCCATGGGTAAAACTGATCTAGAATCAAATCTAGGTTCTAGATATTAAGCATATATTCTCGGATTTGTTAGCTGCAAGTTAGAAATCAAATGGGTTCACAGTTGTGCTTTTGTTCTGCCTGGTAGACAGTACAACCTTCCATGGACAAAAGGAGGACATGTGGCTGTCAAGATGACTGGACAGATGGGCAGGCAACTGAACAGAGATGCTACCTCTGGGTAGTTCCACCGGGGAAGCAGTTCACATAGAGGGACTGAAATTACTGTCAGGAGCACAGTGGGAGCTATGGAATTGAGAAGTTCTGTGCTTTCCTATTCTGAGTACTTGCCCTTCAACTCCTTCAGGGGTTCCTGGAAAGGAAGGCTGCTACTGAGTCAAGGATCATCTTTCATTCACACACTTTTCAAAAGTGATTAGATAATATTTTCCTTCAGTCTCCAAACTGTAACTCATTCCAACTATATTTACCAGGGTCCCTCCTTCTCAATGGTTTTTCTTCTAAAATTAGAACAATAAAACTGACATATATAAATACCCTTCCATAAACTTAGACTTTCCTGAAGAAGAAGAAAAAAAAAAAAAAGAAATTCAGACTGAAGTATGTTTTCATTACAGGCCCACCTGATTGACTTTCAGGCCCTGGGTGCCTTGATTCAGAAACTTAATCTATAAAAATCTCAAAATGCAGAACTAGGATTTATAGATAGAACCTAAAGGAAGGCATTTTATTTCATATAAACAACTCTAGGCTGGGTGTGGTGGCTTAGGCTTGTAATCCCAGCACTTTGGGAGGGTGAGGTAGACGGTTCACTTGAGGTCAAGACTTTGAGTCCAGCCTGGCCAACATGGTAAAACCTCATCTCTACTAAAAATCCAAAAATTAGCTGGGCATGGTGGTAGGCACCTGTAATCCCAGCTACTCAGGAGGCTGAGGCAGTAGAATTGCTTGAACCCAGGAGGTGGAGGCTGTGGTGAGCCAAGATCTACCATTGTACTCCAGCCTGGGCAACAAGAGTGAAACTTTGTCTTAAACAAACAAACAAAAAAAACAACAAAAACAAAAAATGCCAAATAAACAACTCTCTAACGATTTTATGAAGACAGAATGGGTCATTTAGGGTAGTAAATCACTGGTGGTATTCATGTACACACTGATATTCCCATCACTGCTAACATACATAGAGTGAATTCCATCAAAAACAGATAGGGTTTGAAACAGACAAAATTAAATGCCATCTCTTCCAACTATGAGATTTTACATTCTTTATGTGTACATGCTCACATGGCTCAAAGCTTTTCTGCACTTTTATTTAAATATGTACGGACCTTAATACTACAAAGCCTATACATAACCCCTTCATTAAAAAATTATGAATAATGCACCTTTTCCCCTATCTCATTAAACATCATGCTATAGCAAAATATAAGAGAGTAAGCATGAAGGAGAGCAGGGTATGGTTCTCAAATTCAACCTAGCTGAGGAAAAAATCTGAGTGAGTTCTCTGTAATTCCAACCCATAATATATACCTTAAGGCAGGAGATAATGAGCCATAATGAGAACATAGGGACTACAAAGAGGTAGCTACTTGACATCCAGAATTCAAAGTCCCCTACTGCATCACAAAGTTAAATTTAAAGACCACAAGGTTAAATCTATTTCTAATCATTTATCAAACTAGAAACATAAAACTGATTCTATTATCCATCATTAACTCCTAACTCATAATCATGATTAAAAGATGGCTGTGAATTTAACAACAACAAAAAAGCCCACAAATCACTTTTATTTCCATTTTAGAACTACTGTGTGAAATTCATTATCCTTTCTCAGGTATCAGCATGGGCTTCTACGTATGGGTGTTTATCTGTCTCCTGCCTTTGAGGACAGATTTCTGATCCATCAGACCACCCTTGTCAGAATACAGGACTCTTTCTGATTGCTTCTGCGTGGCCATTCAAGCAGGACAGTTATTATTACTAGATATATTGCTAAAGATCCCAGAAACCAGTATTTGAATGCTGGTTACAGAAAGACAAAAAATACAGCTTAGTAGAATCTTGATTATCTTGACAAAAAAGATAAAGGAGTGTTCTCACTAAGGACAATCTAGTAAAAAAGGAATATCTAATATGTAATACATTTTCTCAGATGAGGTATGTTTACAGTCCTGATGAGCCATGAAGAATATGTCAAACTGGAAGTAGTAATCACAGTAAGTAATTTTCTATTTTATTTTTTGACAGCAAAATATTTTAATCTTTCATAATTAAGACTCCAGTACCTACATACTGCTTATGGAATATTTTAGGTGGGATATTTTTAGGTCTACAGAGATCATTTGGATAGTAGATGCAGCATTGGATCTATTTGTCTGACCTGGGGATCTCTAAATAGTTCCCAAAAGATCTACCACTTCAAGGACTCATTGTCTATTCAAGCAGCATCGTGGTCCCACCAATGCAATTAGAGTGCGCAGTCCTCAATTATGGATCTTGGAAGACCAAAGGAGGCTTCCACACTGACTTGTTTGGCTTGCACAGCAGTCAAGAAAAGTCAGCAAATGCCAAGCTGGTTTGCTTCATTTGATGGAAGCTGCTGAAAAGGTCTTCCATTTGGAAGTGTTTACCAGATTTTCTGGTACAATAGCTAGAGCTGTGGGCTTTCTGAGTGTGAAAGGACATATGCAGGACATGAAATATCAGGGACAAGTACCATCTGCAACTGACTGTCTCACAGGCTGGAACATCAATGTAGGAGTAGCAAGGGACAGAACTTCCTCAGAGCCATACACTAGCAAAATTTGGCTGGCAATGAGCTTAAGACATGAATAAATAGGATTGTAAGATCGTGTCCTTTGCAGCTAGTATCTTCAGCACTTTCTGCCCTAATCAAAGGTCAAATGAACAGAGCTGATGAATGCTGCCTTGTTTTAGAAAGACATTCAAAGACAAAAAACAAGAGACATTATATCTATTTCTTTTCCCTAATTAATGTTCAGCCTCTTATTTGACAATGTTTATGTGAGATTTAAAGGCAATAAAGAGAGGGGCAACAAAAACTATATATGGGAAAGAGTCAATTCCTTCTCCATAAGTTCACCTCTAAGGTTCCAAATTATAAAGTTGTATAGCAGGAAGGAAAGAATAATTTTTTTTTTCTTTGAGATAGAGTCTCACTCTGTCACCAGGCTGGAGTGCAGTGGTGTGATCTTGGCTCACTGCAACCTCAGCCTCCTGCGTTCAAGCAATTCTCCTGCCTCAGCCTCCCAAGTAGCTGGGACTACAAGTGTGTGCCACCACACCCAGCTAATTTTTGTATTTTTAGTAGAGAAGGGGTTTCACTATGTTGGCCAGGATGGTCTTGATCTCTTGACCTCATGATCTGCCCACCTTGGCCTCCCAAAGCGCTGGGATTACAGGAGTGAGCCATGGCACCCAGCCTAGAAGAAGAATTTTTAAGGTGCTATCAGACCTCTAGGGAGAGACAGTAGATTGAAAAATCACATTTAAGTTTCCTTTCACCTGGAAAAAGTTCTGCCATAACTAAAGGAAGATAAAAAATTTCAAGGTATAAATTCATAGAGATAGTAAGAAAAAGATAAAACAGCAACAAAATCTTGGTACCTAGAAAACAGATGGATTGGCAATACCAACACAGAATTCTCAAAGGCTTAGGGCTGGTAGCACCTCTGGTGAACATTGATTTAAATAAATTCCAAGATAATTGTATCAGAAAAATGGGAATATGAAAAGTATATAGATAATGGCAGTGAGTGGGGAAATAGACAGGAATACTTAGAAAAATCCAGCTGGGTATGGTGGCTCGCACCTGTAATCCCAGTGCTTTGGGAAGTCAAGATGGGAGGACTGTTTGACCCCAGGAATTTGAGACCAGCCAAGGCAATGTAGACCCTCTCTCTACAAAAACTTAAAAAAAAAATAAATCAGCTGGGTGTGCTATTGTGCTTCTGTGGTCCCAGCTATTCGAGAGGCTGAGGTGGGAGGATCGCTTGAGCCCAGGAGGTGGAGGCTGCAGTGAGCCATGACTGCACCATCAGCCTGGGAGACACAGTGAGACCCTATTTCAAAAAAATAAAAATAAAGAAAAATCCAGGAGTCCCAATATTAGCATGTTACTTAGGTAATTATCACAAGAGGTGAAAGAAATTGGCTTTGTGGAAGGAGATTATTGGAGGTCTTATTAGGGAAGAAAGTCTGGGGACTGGGTTTTTCTTAAATAACTGTAGCATTAGTTGACTCTTCAAACTGTGCCTTTCTCACCCTGATAAAAGCCAAAAGATGAAACTTCAATGATGCTATCAATGTTCTTGTAAGAGTTTATGGCCCTGTGAAAAATGAAGCCAAACAGCTGTGGGAACTCTGCAGCATCTATATAAAGACCATGAGCATGATTACCCTGGAGATGAACACATGTTAACTCATAATTCCACTGTCTTCTTGCAGACACTGATTCGAAAAAGCAGTCACTTGCCAGTTGTCAAGTTTGAAGAAGTTCATTGGGAAAATGTTTCTAAGCACAACTAACACATGAAATGAGAAACAAGGACATCAGAGTCAGAGAAAACTCATTTAGAGGAAATACATTTAGGCATTTATTAAGGTTTTTGCTTTATTTAAACAAAGAGAATCAATTTTCTTTTAAGGAATATAATTATATAATATAAATAAACTCAAGACGCTTCCATTATACAAAGCTTAACTTGGCTTTGTATAACATTTATAAGTTGATTCGCAAAAGCTTTTACAGTCAATGTCAATATAGTAGAAAAATTCTTCCAGGTTCAAATTTCTACTATGTATTTAATTCCCATATTTGAGGCATAATGTATTTTACATTTTAAGAATAAACGGGCAGGGCACGGTGCCTGACACCTGTAATCTCAGCACTATGGGAGGCAGAGGTGGGTGGATCACCTGAGGTCAGGAGTTCGAGACCAGCCTGGCTAACATGGCAAAACCCCGTCTCTACTAAAAATACAAAAATTAGCTTGGCATGATGGCGGGAACCTATAATCCCGGCTACTTGGGAGGCTGAGTCAGGAGAATCACTTGAACCCTGGAGGCAGAGGTTGCAGTGAGCTGAGATCACGCCATTGCAATCAAGCCTGGGTGAAAAGAGCGAAACTCCATCTCAAAGGAAAAAAAAAAAAAGAATGAGTGGTATCTTTTTTGACTTTTTAAAATATTATTTCAAATAATCTGTAAGCCAGTAAGTAGTTTAATGAGTATTTTGATGAAAAGTTTTTATAGTAAGTTTTATCCTACAGTTCTGGCAGCTGGGCTTCATTTAATTGTTCTACACAGTGATATTAAATTAGCCAAAACAGCTAAAACCCATATGTAATTCAAAATTTCATTTCCTCAATCCCCAAACACATTTTCTTTCCTGATGGTCTGGAGAACTAGAAAAATACAAATTTTCCCATATGAGCTCTTGAACCTAAACATTATACAAATACATTTAAAAGCTAGATCAATCTTTACCTGGCTTTATCTGGATCTATATAGTTTAACCTTGTTGGAATTATGTTTTGATTTTTTTTCTTGTTCATATGGGGAAAAGGGCAGAATGGAAGCTGAAATATAAAGTACCCTACACATCTCTAAGCAGCCATTAGTTTCAACTCTCACCAGTACACACAGTAGAGCTGCTCAGAGGGGGAAAAATTTTTCTCCAGTTTTGCTTATCATCTCCATTGGGAAATGCCAATTAATGAGAAAATAGCCACAATTATGACATTCCCCAAAAGAAGAGAATCCAATGGTGGAAACTTGAAAATTCAGTAGTTAACTATGGATGGAAAAATTTAAAGTTTGCTTTTAATATTATCAGGTTTATGAAAATTAAAACTTGCTAGCTCTAATATCATATCAATACTTTTGAGGGAAGGGTTGGACTAAGATTCAACTTCTCTTAAGAGGTTTCCTATTCAGGAGTTAGTCAAATGGAAATGCCAATAGGAAAGTAAAAGGACATTTATTAATTTGTTTACTGTTTCTTTTTTCCTTTTCATTTTAAGAGTAGAAAATTTGCCCTGGTTTCTGTGACCCAAATTCTTTTTCCTACTTATGAGGTAAAGCATTCTTGCATGCATGCTGACTGTCCTCAAATATTAGGCTTGAGGCTCTGTGGCCAATGGGAGGTTAGATTTCGATGAAAAGGGAACAGATGTAGATTTGGGTTAAGTTTCTTCAGGATCCTGTGCTGGAAAAGCCCCTTTACACATTACTGTCATCATAGTAACAGCCAATTCCATCTGCATAGTAATCCTTGCTTTATTCTTCTAGTCTGAGCCAAGTTATATTGTGACTCACTCGTCTACCCTCTAAATCATTACTCCCTTTGCCGAAAAAAAGGCAGTCAACTACTGTGGCAACAAGGTAGTTAGTGAACTGGCAAACAGGCCTGTTGTGCTGATATTTAAATGACTGTAGAATGTTTAGTTTTAATCCAAGACAATTTACTCTTGACGTCTCACCATTGGTACTAGTATATCACACTGGTATTTCTAGAAGATTATGCAATGGGATCCCACCTGTCTTGACTGGAAAGTGGGAAGTTGACATTTTTCTTTCATCATTTTAAATATATTTCATAGTCCCATTCAGACTGTTCTATCTTAAGTTCTTAGTGGGGGTGGGGGCAGTACCAGTCCTCCTCTTTGCAATGTTGACTGTCCTTCACAGTGCATCTTTCTCTCTCTCTCCTATTAATATGTAAGCTCACTTTCAGCAGAAATTTCCTTTTCAGTTGGGGGTCCTGAAGACCCTAAATTTTATAAGTGTTGCTAAAGGGCTGCTTGTATTTGCTTCTGACAGGACTCTAGGTTTTATCAGACCTGGGCCAATCTTACATTAATTTATTGATTTAGAGGTTACTATACCTACATAAATAGTATAAATTTGGACTGTATAACTCATATATAGTATTGATTGGACCTTGAATTTCTCACAAGGGGCTTTACCCAGAACCCTGCCCAGAACTTTCCTGTCATTTTTGGCGGGTGGCGAAAACATTTTCCTAGCTCTTCTTTGAGGGAGCTGCCCCTCCAGGGTCTCTACTTTGTGTAGGGATTGTTTATAGTTCCCCATTTCAGGGACGTTCAAGGTTTCTTCCTGATCTTAGGAAAATTAAAACCCTAACTACTAGCAACCTGCAGGGTTGCTACAGCTCTGACTTACAAGCTTACTGCTCTGCCTTCATATGGCCTGATGCCCATAGGGTTTATATTTCAAAAGAAACTTTAAGGTAGGTGAAAACTGAATGAAACTCTAATCTGATACCCAAGCATTCTAAATAATTCAACATTTTCAAGATAAAGAGGCTCCTATAGACCAGATAAAATTCCTCTAAGATGCTGTTATACTTATCATAAATACATACTAATGGGGCATTTAAATCCAAACAGCCTAACTACCTGTGGTCCAGTGTTCAGTGATAACCTCCATATAAATCTCTTCTTATATAAATGACATTCAAATTTTGCTATAAAAGTCTTAAGGAAAAAAGGTTTACAAATAAGAAAAAAAGTTTTTAAATGCTTGTTGAGTAAAATAACAGGTATCTATGCCAATGCATGACTTTTGTTTTTCTTAAAAACAAAACATAAAACTCTCCTTCACAAAGATTTATTTCAAACCCTATTCCATGACTAACTCAGCCTAAGGAAGAAAGAGGGATTTTTTTACATGTAAATGAAAAATTGGGCAAGGCACAGTGGCTCACGCCTGTAATCTCAGCACTTTGGGAGGCTGAGCCAGGTGGATCACTTGATTTCAGGAGTTTGAGATCAGCCTGGCCAGTATGGTGAAACTCTGTCTCTACTAAAAATACAGAAATTAGCCAGGCGTAGTGGTGTGTGCCTGTAATCTCAGCTACTTGGGAGGCTAAGGCAGGATCATCGTTTGAATCTGAGAGGCAGAGGTTGCAGTGAGCTGAGATCACACCACTACACTCCAGCCTGGGCAACAGAGTGAGACTCCATCTTAAAAAAAAAAATTGGCAAGATATTAATTTGTACCACCTGAGTGAAGTAAAACTCTGACCTGCAGGTTATTCAGAGGTTCCATCTTCATGACTGGGCCCAAGGTGTTGAGAGGCAGGGAGACATCAATGCTCTGGTTTGGCATGAGTGGTGTATGGATGGCCAGAGGAGTGCTGGGGATGACACCAAAGCTAGAAGAGAGGATAAATTACAGGGGTTAATCAAGAGGCAGGATTTAGCCATTTCTTTGGGTTTTAAGGGCATTTTGCCTCATTTATAGAAAAAAAAATTTTTTTTTTGCCTGGTCTCACTCTGTCACCCAGGCTGGAGCAAAGTGGCATGATCTCAGCTCACTACAGCCCTCACCTCCCAGGTTTAAGCGATCCTCCAACCTTAGCCCCCCAAGTAGCTGGGACAATAAGCATGCACCATCATGCTAAGCTAATTTTTGAATTTTTAGTAGTGATGGGGTTTCAATGTGTTGGACAGTCTGGTCTTGAACTCCTGAGGTCAAGCAATCTGGCCACTTTGGCCTCCCAAAATGCTGGAATTACAGGCGAGGAAACAAATTTTTAATAAAATTAAATGAAAGGGATAGCAGGAATCAAGGTGCTCAATTCCAACTTGCTGGAACACTGATTACATCATAACTTCTGTTTTCCATTAAATGGATTTGAGGAAGGAGAAAATATTTCTAAGCGCAGAACTGCTTTCCTAGTGCTATGATTCCAAAAGTTTCTTCTCCTTAAAATGTCACTAGAGGGACAGGCTTGATGAATATAAATTTTAATAATTTTTTTCCTTAGATAATTCTTGGGAGAAAGAAGGATTAAGAATTTCCACCCTGGCCGGGCGCGGTGGCTGATGCCTGTAATCCCAGCACTTTCGGAGGCTGAGGCGGGTGGATCACGAGGTCAAGAGATTGAGACCATCTTGGTCAACATGGTGAAACCCCGTCTCTACTAAAAATACAAAAAATTAGCTGGGCATGGTGGCACGCACCTGTAATCCAAGCTACTCACAAGGTTGAGGCAAGAGAATTGCCTGAACCCAGGAGGCGGAGGTTGCGGCGAGCCGAGATCGCGCCATTGCACTCCAGCCTGGGTAACAAGAGCGAAACTCCGTTTCAAAAAAACAAAAAAAAAAAGAATTTCCACCCTGAGGCCAGGTGTGGTGGCTCATGCCTGTAATCTCAGCACTTTGGGAGCTTGAAGCAGGAGGGTCATTTAACATAATGAGACCCTGCCTTTACTGTCCCTACCCCCCAAAAAAACCTAATAGAGTAAAACAAATTAACTGAGCATGGTGGCATATGCCTGTAGTCCTAGCTACTCTGGAGGCTGAGGTGGGAGAATCCCTTGATCTCAGGCACTCAAGGTTGCAGTGAATTGTGACTGCACCACTGCATTCCAGCCTCAATGACAGAGTGAGACCCTGTCTTAAAAATACAAAAAAAAAAAAACCCAAAAACCAATTTCTACTCTATAAAGAGAAGTATAATAAATTATTTCACAGGCTTGATGACCTGCCTGGTAAGTCCAGAGGATTATTTACTGGTAATTCTCACTTTCTTTCTCTTTTTTTTTTCCACTTACACAGGACACAACCACTGGAAAAAAGTAAAGCGGAACTGACTGGCTTATAAATTCCAAACAATTAGGGTAAGTTGTATAGCCATACACTAAGAAAGTGTATGGCCGCTTTCTAAGTTTCAGGTAGGCAATGAATACCTACCAGTTTTCTCTAGGAGAACTTGTTTAATAATACAAGAATGGTAAAGAGATGGGAAACTCAGCCTGACTCTGAAGTTAAATAGAAAACAAATACATATGTGGGAGGACAGACAGTCTGAGAAACATAAAGATAAAATTTTATAGGCTGGGGCAGGGCGCAGTGGCTCACAACTGTAATCCCAGGACCTTCAGAGGCTGAAGTGAGTGGATCACTTAAGGCCAGGAGTTCAAGACAAGCCTGGCCAACATGGTGAAACCACAGCTCTACTAAAAACAGAAAAGAAAATTAGCCAGATAGTGGGCACCTGCAATCTGAGCTACTAGGGAGGTTGAGGCAGGAGAATCACTTGAACCTGGTAGGTGGAGGTTGTAGTGAGCCAAGATCACACCACTGCACTCCAGCCTAGGCCACAGAGCAAGACTGTCACACCAAAAAAAAAAAAAAATAGAAATATATATATATATATATATGCTGGGCTTGGTGGCTCACACCTTTAATCCCAGCACTTTGGGAGACCCAGGCAAGAGGATCACTTGAGCCCAGCAGTTCAAGATCAGCTTGAGCAACATAGAGAAACCTCGTCTCTAGAAAAAAAAAATACAAATATTAGTCAGTGTGGTGGTGTGTTCCTGTAGACCCAGTTCCTCGGGAGACTGAAGTGGTAAGATCACTGAGCCCAGGAGGTTGAGGCTGCAATAAGCCTTGCCTTGACCACACCATGCACTCCAGGCTGGCAAAAGTGTAAGACCCTATTTCGGGTGAAAAAGGAAAACAAAACTTTATAAAGATGGAGCAAAGGCTGGGCATGGTGGCTCACACCTGTAATCCCAGCACTTTGGGAGGCTGAGGTGGGAGAATCACCTGAAGTCAGGAGTTTAAAGACCAGCCTGGACAATATGATGAAACCCCATCTCCACAGAAATACCAAAATTAACTGGGCATGATGCAGGTGTCTGTAATCCCAGCTATTTGGGAAGCTGAGGTGGGAGAATCACTTGAACCTGGTAGGTGGAGATTGCAGTAAGTTGGGACTGTGCCATTGCACTCCAGCCTGAGTGCCAGAGTGAGACTCTATCTCCAAAAAAAAAAAAAAAAAAAAGATGGAGCAGAAAGGAAAAAGTAGGCCAAGAAGAAGCAAAATAATATAAATTTATGTTTAACTTATATTCTAAATAGGCTCAGGAAGGAAGATAGGACTATAATATTTATAAAATTAACTAAAGAGTTTACACAGGCCAGGAGTGATGGCTAATGCCTGTAATCCCAGCACTCGGGGAGGCGAAGCAGGTGGATCACCTCAGGTCAGGAGTTCGAGACCAGCCTGGCCAACATGGTGAAACCCCATCTCTACTAAAAAATAAAAAATAAGAAATTAGCTGGGCATGGTGGTGGGCGCCTGTAATCCCAGCTACTTGGAACCTGGGAGGCGAAGGTTGCACTGAACCGAGATCACACCACTGCACTCCAATCGAGGCAACAAGAGTGAAACTGCGTCTCAAAAAAAACAGTTTATACAGGTACTCTTTCAAGAGCTAGAATGCTAAAGAAATATTTTCCTTTTCCTACATAAACTACACCTTAGAGTACCAAATTGTAATAATGAAATGATCTTGAGAATTCACATCACTCACTTAGGGATAATAGTTATAGGGCAAAAAACCATTTAACTCTTTTGATTCATCAAAACTCTGTCATTAAATCAATATTGGGAAACATGGCAGCAGCACAGTTCCAAATCTTCCAAGTGCTTATCTGAGAAACAAAAGAGGAAATGAAGAAGAAAAAAGTCCCTAAAAAACTATAATTTCACCTTCTCCAACACTATTAGTTGAAGAAAGCTTATCACAGAACTGGTGAGACGCTCTGGTGATACAGTAGGGAGGCACAAGTTCAGAGGAAACCAACAGTAGTAGCAGGTCTTAGAGACTGACCGCAAATATCCATTCTTAGAAGACAGCCCTATTCCCAAGGTAGACCAAGATAAACAGGAGCAACATATGAACAAGACTGGGAAAAAAAAAAAAAAGGTCCCCAGGGGTCCCTGGAGATGAAAGAGCTTAAAAAGCACCACCTTCTAAAGAGAAAATAAGCACGCTAGAAGACAGAGCTTCCTTAAAAGACAGGGCTTGAGGCAGAGATCAGCCCTCTGGAATCAAGTTAGGTTCAGAGAGGCTAAGGAGTTGTGGCTACACCAAACCAAAGAAGAAATCATTCTTGAGGAGCAAAGTCTAAAAAACTACCATGCCTAACTTCTTCTTCTATTGAAATCTCACAATAGCTAGTCATGCAAATTCCAACTCATTCAAATATGAGTATCAAAACGGTAAAAACACAGTAACTATTCAAAACATTATTATAAAAAGTGGAAAGACAGCAGTACAACTTCCTTAATGACAAACAAAACATAATTGGGGGGAAAAAAAAAAAAGCAATGCTAGCTACCCGAGGAAGATCACATAACAGTAAATGGTAAAGGGAGCCACTCCAATTCAGGAAAGAAATAATAAGAAAAATAAATAATGTCAGAAATGAAGACTAAATATACCATGAATATAGATGCAAAAAAATTTTTGCCAATGAACTCCATCATACTCGAGGTACTAGTACTTGATTATGCCACTGCACTCCAGCCTGGGTGACAGAAGAAGACTCTGTCTCAAAACACAACAAAACAAAGCAAAACAAAAATCCTTTTGTTTTTCTGAAGACATTATTAAGAAAAGGCAAGCCACAGACTGGAAAAAATATTTGCAACAAAGAATTTATATCCAGAATATACAAAGAACTTTTATAACTCAATAATAAGACAATCCTCTCTCTCCTCCGGAAAACAACAAAAGGTAAAGATTTAAACAGATACTTAAGCGAAAGATATAAGAGTGGCCAATAGGTTTATTTTTAAAAAGCTTAAAATTAGCAGCCATTAGGGAAATGCAATTAAAATGAGACACTACTATACAGCGACAAGAATGGCTAAAATTGGTGAGAATGTGGAATAGCTAGAATATGGAATAGCTTACCATATAACCTAGTAATAACATTCCCATTTATTTACCGAGGAAAATAAAAAACATATGTCCAACCAAAGATGTGTACCCGAATGTTCACGGCAGCTTTATTATTAAGATGAAACTGAAAACAACCAAACTCCCCCAACTTGTGAGCACGTCAACAAACTGTAAATTCATCAATGGAGTATTACTTAGCAACAAAAGCAAAATCAACTGCTGATATATGTATTTCAAAAGCATTATGCTAATTGAAAGAAACCAGATACAAGATTCCATATTATGTAATTTCACAAAAAATTATAGGAAAGGTACAATTATAGTGACAAAAAGACTGACCTACAAAGAACAAGGAGAATTTTTTACTATGGTGTAAACCTGGTAAGAAATACAGAGACTAGAAATGAGAAAAAGAAAAGTAGAAGAGAAACAGGATTTGTGATCACCAGCCACTATGAAGTATTTCTGTCAGAAAATCACCCTAAATCTGATTACATCTATAGATCTGCCTCAAATTCACAGCTAGAATCAGTAAGATTAAGATTGTGGGAAACTCCACACATAAAAGACCTAATTTCTTCTACAGATAAATTTTAAGGAACAAAACAGAGGAGGAGGAGGAGGAACCTATAGCTTAAGAGAGACTTAAAGCACTTACCAACTAATTACAATGTATGGGACCTTACTGGGACCCTGTTCAGACAAAACAAACAGTACAAAAACATTAGACAATCTGAACACGAATTGGATATTTGCTGATATGAAAGAATTTGATTTCTCTTTAATGATTAGAGGGAAAAACAGTGTATAAAAGATAAACAAAGAGTCAATAAATGAATAATTGAAAACTCCAAAGAAGAAAAACAAAACAATGGAACAGAACGAAAGATGTTGTAGTGAGCTGCTGAGATCGCCCTACTACACTCCAGCCTGGACAACAGAGCGAGACTCCAACTCCCGGGAAAAAAAAAAAAAAAAGGGTGAAGATGAATGTAGACTCTGTATCTGCAGATTTCCTTTATTACAACAAGATTTCCCCAACAGCCATGGCCTATTTATTTATTTATTTTCCCAACAGCCTTGGCCTTTATATCCAGAGTACAAAAATGTTTCCAAATAATGGGAAATAAAACAGTCGCTGATGCAAATTCATAGACAAATTTTATTAAATCTGCTTTAAGGGTCCAATTATTACTTTTCATATGCAGGGTTAAATATCCTGTATTTACAAATGAATGGGCCTGCCATTAAGGCCTAGCAGCCACTTTCCTGAACCATAAAACTGAATAAAACCCACTGATGTTTCAAAAAGAATAAGACATTACTGTTTTACTTCTTCATGTTCTCTTCCTTACTAAGGCAGATAATTCATTGCTAAAAGGAGGTTGTCAAGATTTATGTGCTTATTCGGTCAGGATCTATACTTCCATATTTCTGACACCAACCAAATATGCTAATTTTTCCCATCAAAATGTGAACTTCCAGTCAGGAGCTTTGTTTGGTTCACTAATCTAGCCCCAGTACCTAGAAATGTCTGGCTCATGCTAATGCTAAACAATGATTTGTTGAACAAATAAATGGATTTCAGTTAAAAATTTGTTTTATAAAAAATGTTCTAATCCTAGAATCTAAGACAGTAAATGAGTTCTGGTTTCTTCATCCCATTTGGATGAGTTTCCCAACAAAACTCCCTAGGGCCTCCAGACTTGAAGCTGATAACTAAAAAGACTTGCAAGAGCCAGGGCTCACTCTACATCCAGCATCTGCCAAATATGTGAGATCTGGTTTTCTTTTTGAGACGGTGTTTCATTTTGTTGCCCAGGCTAGAATGAATGCATTGCTGTGATCTCAGCTTACTGCAACCTCAGCCTCCCAGGTTCAAGGGATTCAACTGCCTCAGCTTCCCAAGTAGCTGGGATTACAGGTGCCCACCACCACGCCCAGCTCATTTTGTATTTTTAGTAGAGACAGGGTTTCATCATGTTGGCCAGACTGGTCTCAAACTCCCGACCTCAGATGATCCACCCGCCTCAGCCTCCCAAAATGCTGGGATTATAGGTGTGAGCCACTGCACCCAGCCCAATATGTGAGTTTTTAACCATTGCTAACTGGAACGTTCTGTTGGATCTAAGGCAAACTATTGTCTCAGCGTCAAGCTAGGGACTCAGACTTCTTACCTATTTTTGTTAAACTGGATTGCAAAATCTGTCATATGCTGCAGAGCTTTATTGGTGAAGTTCATTTCCATATAGATGTGCCCTTGGCGGTGAGTAAATGTTCCTGAAATCTCCAAGCCTTTAGCCTTTACTGCAGGTAGCCAGACCTGTAACACAGTACAAAGCTCAATAGAACCAGACAAGATTTATTTTGATGCTAAGTATTTTTTAACAAAGAACAAATTAAGATTAACAATTAAGGGAACAAATTCACTTCCTTAGGCAATTATAGTAACTCTATACTATAAATATCAAGCCAGTGCAAAAGACTCTGGATAGTCTTATTTTCTGAATTTTGAGATCATTCTCAATTATTTAAGAACCAAATAATAATAATTTTTAAAAACCGGTCTTTTTTTTTTTGAGATGGAGTTTCGCTGGAGTGCAATGGCGCGATCTCGTCTCACTGCAACCTCCGCCTTCTGGGTTCAAGCAATTCTCCTGCCTCAGCCTCCCGAGTAGCTGGAACTACAGGCGCGCACCACCATGCCCAGCTAATTTTTGTATTTTTAGTAGAGACGGGGTTTCACCTTGTTGACCAGGATGGTCTCGATCTCCTAACCTTGTGATCTACCCGCCTTGGCCTCCCAAAGTGCTGGGATTATAGGCGTGAGCCACCGCGCCTGGCCTAAAAACTGGTCTTTAAACAACCCTGGCATCTGCTCTATCTTCTGTTCAGCTTGGTTATTTTACTGCTTTTGAGTACTGCTACCAAGAGGAAAAGAGAAATTCCAATGAGTATAACGTGTTTTTCTGTTAGTTTTGGTAAAATGGTTTAAAGAGAAGAAAACTACATCTGCTAATGAAAATAGTATGCCTATAATCTTTGAATTTTTTTTAAATAGTTTCCAACCAAAGCCATTATTAGTAACCTCGTTAAAGGCATTGATCACGTCTTACGTACATTTTAAATTCTTGCAATAGTTTGTGATAAACAGTAATACTCAGATATTGCTCATATAATCTGAATGGCTATTCTCTTTATCTATCTAAATAATTTATAACACACACCTTGGCCCTGGAACCTGTGATACACCTGGCGTATACTAATTAAAAAAAAAGATTAAAAAATTTTAAAAATCAGGAAAGTCATGAGCTGTTCTGACTACCTAAGACAGAATACCAAAGGATCTGTGGGTGGTGATTAATCATGATAATTACTCAGTCACACTAAAAGAGTGGCAGGTGGTGGGGAGGACCAGGCAATAACCTAAATGTTCATCAACAGAGGAGTGATTAACTAAATTACAGTATATCTCAGTAGATATGCCCATTCAAAAGAATATGGTAGAGAAAATCCAAGGTGCAAAATCCCATTGACACAGAATGTTCAAAGGATACAAACATATAGGTATATGCACGATCTTTTTCTTTTGAAAGGACACACAATAACTGGCTATACATGGGAAATAGGGATGGGGGAGACAATTTTCCATCTTACATTTTTATATTATTTACACTGGTCATTTATAAACATTACTTTTATGTTAGTAAATGAGTGCATTATATAACTAATAATTAAAAGTCTGAAGATAACAGCCAATATGTAAGTAAACCTTACAACAAAGCTACTGAGTTGTGCCAGAATACTATGGCTCAGTTTTGAATATTTTTGGTTTTGCTATGCAATGTAGTAACTGTACACACTCAGTTATCACAGTTATGACTCCTGGAATGGACAACTGGTCTATATCTCTATAGCAGGGATCCCTTATAGGAGTCATATGAGTAAGCAGAGAATTCAGGAAGCAACCAGCCAAACTGGTCCTCAGAAAGGCAAGACTATAAAAAGCCTGGCCTAACCTGGATGGTGGTTTTCCCAAGGGCTTAAATGAGCTTCCTTAACAGGGACTATCCCCCCTTGAAGTTCAATATGAGTGATATAAAATAAGGTTAAGGCAAGAAGAGCCCCAATGACATAAACCTAAATCGGAACTCTAAAAAGGTACACAAAAATCTGAGCAATAACATTCTAGAATCCATCTGTAATACCAATAGGAAAAAGGGAATAGGAGAAATGACTTCTTTGTATTTTTTCTCCTGCTGGTGTACTATACACCATTAGATTTTCACTAGATTGACTTCAATGTTGACAAACTAGACAATATTTCTTAACATGTGAACAAAACTCAAATAATATTTCAAATTTTAAGTCTAACGATAAAAATGTTTAACAAGGATGCTAATGGTGCTCCCTACTGTTAAGTTTGAAGGCACCTTTCATCTTCCTCTTAAGTCCTCCAGAACAAGGGCTCAGACCTTTGATTTATTATTAGTAGAAGTAACACAAATGTTGGAAGTGAAACAATTTGGATCCTATGAAATACTTTAATACCAAACACATTAAGAAAGTATTGCTATGTTAACTCTTTACTTACAGCCTTAGGAGCCACATATCCACCGGGTGCCATGCCTATCCCTGTAGAGAGTTCAAACAGGTCATTCAGTCCACTGCTGACGACAGCAGGTGTAGGTGAAGGAGCAAAGGTTGCAGGCACTGATGATGGGATAAAGGATTGTCCTACCTGCAGGAAAAAAAAAAGGAGGAGAGGGGAGATTGGGACGAACAGATTAACAGTCCTTAAAATATTGCTATGTATCTTAGTAGTCTGATAAATTGGTAAGAAAACACCGCAATTATAATATTCTTAGGAGTCGAATTAGTATATTCTTCATCTTTTTAATCACGACAGTTATTTTTCATCATTGGTAAGACACACACATTCTTTAGAAGCTTTATCAAGAGAGTACTCAGTAAGATACAGGAACACAGTGATCCAAGATTTTCTGTTTTTTTCCAATTTTAGCTTCCATGATTCTGTGCAAAAGGCCTACAGGTACCCTAAGAAAGGAGGAGTTTGTTTCTACAGAAAGAGGGAGAAGTATCCAACTTAAACAGCAGTTTGATTTCCACCTGGGTTCAGCAAAGTCTTACTTCCTTTCCCATTTAGGCATACATATCTAGTAGGAAGCTCTCCTGGGGGAGAAGGATATTCTCACCCCCCTAACTATCTCATTTATGAGGAGAGTCTCACTCTGAGTCCAGCTGACCCTTTTATGTTCTTTCTAGGTGACATGAGGGAACAAGCATTCTCCAGTCAAGATGGAAGGGTCCATTTCCTTTAGCTCTTTAATATCAAAAAGACAAAGATCTCCACTGGAACATTAATCCCTAAAGATGTCTCTACACCACATGGTGCATGACCCAAACAATTCCAAGTAACCCTATACTACTTTCTACTCCTCATATACTGTTATAGAGGTTTTGGTGTGCAGTGCAGCAGCAGTGGCTGGTCTGATAATGTGTACATAGGAAAGGCATCAAACAGGGGGAAGCGTTTCCCATGGTGAAAAAAACGGATGGCACTTACTGCCGGACTTCCTCCAATGCCCCCGCCAAGGTCACTGCCAAGCTGAAAGAGAGAAAGGAGAGAGAGGAGAGAGAGGTAGAGTTCATTTAGCTAAATACTAGATGCCCATATAGAATCTGTAAATTGCTCTACCAAGTTGCTGGAAATACATGCCATTCAACTTGTCTCCCAAAGCCTAAAGAAATTCTAGATTACAAAGAATTTGTAATTGTACAATTACAAATTGTAATTTGTAATTACAAAGAAATATGTACTGGGGGGACTAAGTGGTGGTAGTGATGGTGTATAGGTTTGGACAAAACTTGGAAAGAAGCTGGAGCTGGAATATCTCAGGGATGTTCCAGATCCAGTCTTTCCACTGGGATACACAGGCACGAACCCAAACAAGATTTACAGAGTTTGCATATTCTAAGCAGCTCTATCCTCAAGCAGTAATGTTTCGAATATGCTTCATTTTTTCTTTAAAAGGAAACTTGTGGTGGAGGGTGGTGAAGGCAGGAAGGTGTTGGAAAAGGAAAAGCCAAAAAACAAAACAATTAATGTGCTTTAATTTACAAAACCTGCTGCCTCACTGAAAAGGTAAGAACCAAACTAGTATTGAGCTGCAATTTCAAGCTGCAAAAATTATAGGTGGAACAAAAGTGATTTTTAAGAGTTTGGAATGTTTTTAAAAAAGGAATTATCTGGACTAAGTAGGAAGTGGGGAAGCACGCAATGCTTCAAATCTCTTTCATAGTCAACTCTACTAAGGAGAAATGTGATTTATTTGCAGTAGATCATTTTAAAAGGCTGCTAAGCATTAGAGAATTAGACTAACTGAATTACCTAGCTGACAAGAAAATAACTCCACATGGTCTTAGTCTTGCTTTTTTTCTCAGGATTCTGATAGATATAATTGACCCTAAAGTCAGTCTTCCATGACAAAAACATTAAAGAACTCAAGCTGAAAATAGGTGGCATACAGGCAATGTAAAAACACACATAAACACAACTAATGGAGCTGTTTAAAAAGCAAAATCTACTTTTTTGCTACAGTTCCACATTTGTTTCTTCTGTAGTTCTCACTGTGCATCAAAAAAACCTCCATGAATCATCAAATGCATTGTCTGCTCTAGATACACTCTGCTTTATTGTCATTTAGTGGTAGAACCTTGCAGATCATTGAGCTGTAGCCACATTAAAAACCAAAATTATTTTGTATCTTTAGGATTAGGGTAAGAGGGTTTATCTTTTCAATGAACAGAGAGTAGTATATAAAATGGCATTCTCAAAAATGTAGAAATTAATCTTAAATATTAAAAAATAGTGAGGACTACAACAAAGTTCTGTTTAAACCATGACAGAAAATAATAACCCTGGTAGGTGCTTCATAACTGGCGTTAGCAAGCATGCTTTGCAGTAAACTACAGAGCACTCCGAACCAGAGCTCATTTCCAGAATCTGATTCCTGAAGACTACTTAATGGTTGCACAGGGGATGAAAACCACATACTTCAGCAAATAAAAAGGCCATCCCAAAACCAAGAATTTGAATAACTGGGAAAGCGTGGGAGGAAATAGAAAAGGTATTACACATCTGCTTTCTCCCTAGGTCTATAATGGCACACAACTCAAGCATGACATCTGAAATTCCTTTTATTCAAACAAAACACTTACCTAACATTTACTGGATGCAAGGCATTACAAGGAACATAAAGATGCTAGGCAATGAGAGGACTACATAGATAAGAACGAGGCTTTGCAAACTAGCAGGAGAAATAAAACATAAATGCAAAACCATACAGAATATACTAAAGCAAAAAAGGAAAGTTCTGACAGGAAGAACCTCTCTCTGGCTGAAAGAATGAAGAGAAGCTTCAAAGGGGTGGTAGTGTGGGATTATAATGGGAGGGATTATAAAAAGCAAAAATGGGGGAAGGGCATTTCTCAAATAGCATGAGCAAAGGCAGAGAAAGCATAGAAGAATGAAAAGGCCAATTAGACTGGAACACAGGATTGATAGGTGTTTAAAAAAATACTCATACAAAATAAGTTTACAGAGGCGGTCTTTAATTTTTAATTTCCCCTTCATAAAAACCTGGAAGTTTCTTAGACTAGTATCCAAGCTTTCTAAGAATACTAATAACTATATCAATTATGTTTCAGTAAGTATGGTTTCAACCTTGGATACACAATGGAATCAACCATCTGTGTGTGGGGGTTGCAGAGAGTAGGATTTTAGAAGTACTTGCCCCCACAGATGGTAATTTAATTGTTCTGAGGTGTAGCCTGGGCATCAGAATTTTGAAAATCTTCCCCAGTTGATTCTACTGTACAGCCAAAGTTGAAAACACTGCCGTTAGAGAATTAATTATTTCAAGTTAGACAAGATTTCATCTGCTCAGAAATGACTTTGGAACTTCTGAATAAAAAGGAAGTCAGAATTTGAGCAGAGGGGAAAACCCATGGAAAGAATTCTACAAAAAATGTTTCATTTGTCCTGATATCCTGAGGTGGTTTTCAACTTTCTGATGGGCTTATCACCTCTTCCCACAACTATTCTCCCCATTTCTGGCTAGGCTTATAATCCAAGATTGAAAGAGATAGAATTCTTTATGGACCTGGTTGGCACAGAACAGCAAGAAAGAAAAACACATTGAAAAGGAAACCGTGGTTTTGCTAAACTCAATAAAAAGGCATTCAGAAAAGGGATTCACAGGTAGTGTTTAGACCAAAGGAAAGAAAGAACCTTCACAGCCCTTATTTTCTTGGATTTCATTCTTTTATCTTTAAATGGTACATAAATATTATCTTAGCTGGAAAAGATCTAGAAGTACTGTCCTGCAATGCCGCTTGTCAATTTTATTCAAAACCACTAAGAAACTGAAAAGCAATCTTGACATTCCTTTGTTTATGTTCGGTATATCAGATATAACTCAGCTATAAACAAGAACTCCGATATGACATAGACAGGGCCCAAAGGATATCAGACACACAGCCAGGGATACAAAGGTTCACCCAAACTGTGCTATGTTCAGAAAGCAAAGGGAAAGGACAATTTCAATACTGTATATGTTCTCTTACTAGCAAGTCTACAGCTTATTCACATTATTCAGTAACTTTTGAAAAAGATTCTAAGAGAGATTATCCTCCTCTCTGAAACCATGGCAAGGTGACAGCATGATGATGGGTGTGAGTGACTAATAGGGAGATGTTAGCAGGAATGGAAACAAATTACCCAGTGAGTGGCCTCTCCTATCTACAAGTGACAAACAGGATGAAGCAGATATTCCTGAAGAAAAAAAGAAAGCTAGAAAGCTGAACAACTACACAATAAAGTTGCTGTATATCAGAAAAAAATTCACTTTCTTGTTCAGGCTGGTCTCTTAACGCCTGGGCTCCAGTGATCCTCCGACCTCAGCCTCACAAAGTGCTGGGATTACAGGTGTGAATCACTGCAACTTGCCTGAGATTATTGGGAGTCAGGTTCATCTGTCTGGATATACTCTAAGTCCATACTTATCAGGTAGGGTACAAAATCAATCAAATTAGAACTTGTAACAGGCTTTGATCCTGATCTTAAGTGTCTAGATACTGTGTCTCTTGGAGTTGTCCACTCTCAGTTGTTCCCAGTATTGCCTTACTGAGGCTGTCATTCCACAAAGAAAATAATGCCAGTTATAGTTCAACTAAATCAGATACAGGAAGAAGGGGGAAAGATGCCAACTTCAGGCAAAGAATATTTCAAATACTGAAAGCTGAACAGAATGTTCAAAAGTCTGTAACTAATACCTAAATCCAAATTTTCTGCCAGTGGTGTAGCTCCCCAGTTTCCAATCACAGTAGTCCCCCATAATTATTATAGTCATTAAATGGCACTGAGAATAACATGAACATTTTTCTACTGTCAAAGAGTGGTCACTTTACCATGTCTGAAGTAATGCTGAGTGGAGCTTGGTTCATGTTAAACTATACAATAATGTGTCATTGCACAATAATGTTCAGTAACCGAACAGAAAACCAGGATTTTATGGTGACTTATTGTAACTTAGGGGCTAAAGAGATTTCAGCATGGTTACATGAGCTCTGCAGAGACAAGTAGAGCAAAACGTCTCAGAGCTGAGCCTGCATAAAGGCTCAGTTCAGCTATATAGATAATGAAAGGAAATGCACTCATCTAATGGCAATATGCTACAACAGCAGAAATACAGAGAAAGAACTCGAGTGAAGTTATATAAGGAAACGAATCTTCCTGACCCCAGAAAAGAAAATTTAAAAAGAAATTTTTTAATTTTATAAAGCAATATCATACCATTGAGTGGACTAGGAAAAAACAATCCCACAAATTATCACAATGACTGATCTGGATGTCTGGACAGTCCAAAGTACATCTATTTGCTTCTAAAACTATGGAGTTATCTGAAGACATTCTCATAACTACAGGTGTAGATCTTAAGCTCAGACATTTCTATGCTCATGTTTAGAGCTAGTGTCTCTTTTATTTAATGTTTTCTAGAACTTACTGAATTGAAGAGAATCTAAGGAATGCTCCAAGTCATATAGCTTACCAATAGTTCTGCTATTCAGGAGCCAATAAAATGGTGCAAAAATAGTATACAATGATTCCCACCACAAACAATAAAACTTATATTTTTATAGAGTCATGGTTTCACCATGTCAAAATCCTATTGGTGTCAAAAATATCAGTGTGTGTCTTTCCATCAGAGTTTAAATTTCAGATGGGACACAGTATCTTGTAGGTTAAAGTAAGGTTTTCGGCTACTGGACTGGAAATTTAAATTTGATCTTCAAAAAGCTATTCAAGGCTGGGCATAGTGGCACACACTTGTAATCCCAGCCCTTTGGGAAGCTGAGGCAGGTGGATTGCCTAAGCCCAGGAGCTCAAGGCCAGGCTGAACAACATGGCGAAACCATGACTACAAAAAATACAAAAATTAACTGGGTGTAGTGATGCGTGCCTGTAGTCCCAGCTAGTTTGGAGATTGCGGTGGGAGGATCATCTGATCCTACGGAGGTCAATGCTGCAGTGAGCCGTGATCGTGC